CTGACGTGGCACCATTTGCTCTTGTGTGTGAGAAACAGACAACCTCATTAAAGCATTTAACCTTGGGAGAGTATTAGGCCGTGTAACATGAGTGAAAGGAAGCACCATATTCCAACAGATGTCAGGACGCTACCTGTCTGTTCGACTCCCCACCAGCCACCTCAGGCATGCCAGCTTTGATGAATCTCATTTTAGGTGGCATTCCTGGCTTTACAAGAACTTGGTGCCTGACTCAGGGATGCAGCTTTCACTGGAGGACAAAGAGGCAACAAACGAAACATTACAATTCTGAATCCAAATTTCCGTGGTGGACTTAGCTACGGCTGTCATGGAAGGACACCATCCATCAAGGAGCTTTCAGGTCACACACGTCCCTCAGTCAAGAGCATGATTGATTTCCACAGAACGACTTCCATGGACTTCACTAGGAAGCGGTTTATTCCTCCGGTGCCCCTAATTCCACTATGGTGTTTAAGCACTCTAGTTTGCTACGTCTATGATGCAGAGTGCTTACATGCCAAATGGAGCATAGTTTATCTCAGTTCTCATAAAACTCTACTGAAAAAAGAAATGGAAGCTCTTAAATAATTCAAGGGTGTTACAACCATCAGCTGGTTGAATACCCGCGAAATGCAACATGCTTACAGAAGATGATACTAAACCTTGACTTACTCAGAAGCACTGCTCTCTAATAAAAATATATAAACATAGAACAAGAAGACTTATTTCTTCTCCGACTAGATATATTTTAAGAACAATAACAATGGGAAGACAGCATTTCACAGCCAAGCAAGGATGAATTGTGATTTCAAATCAACATCAACTTTTTAATCTCTGCATATAAGATGTGTGTAAGATTCAAGATAACATTGGAGTAAGAAGATGATACAGCACTGGGGCAACAAAGTGTCTTTGACACCTAATTCTCAAAACTAGAGAGCTTAAGTTTGAAACAACCAGAACTAGCACTACAAAGGTCCCTGGATCGTATCAGCTACGTAGTCAGACCAATAAATGTGCCTGCTCCACAGATGGTCCACAGCCTCTAAGCCAAGAGGTACAGTCCCCTCTGTGTTCTGTATACATCAGTGGACTACATAGCCATGCAGCTTCGGGTTTCCAAAGAGTCCTGCATCATGGAGGATTTTTTTGGCCTTAAAAGGGAAATAACTCTTTAGAATGTGTGTTGTGGAAAATCAGTCTCAAGCATCTCCAGTGTCCTACGAGCCATGTTGCAGCCCACTAGAATGGTATGTTTATGATGTGAAACTACAGATACTTGTTGCCGCACTCAACAACAGATTGAGAGCACATGGATTTGCCAGCTCAGCTGGGAAAGCATTGGAGGGCTGTGTAGAGCAGAGGGAGCCTGACCTCATGTAGATTCACCCCTGCTTCCTTGCGGTCTTTGCAGGGACTCAGATGGGGGAGTTGCCTTGAGCAGACCAGCCCCACAGCCACACCTGGATTTTGTCTGGGGTGGAGTTTTCACTCCAAAAGAGAATCTACAAGGAACAAATACTTATGCAATCTGGATGGGCAAGTGACTGGGACCTGAGAGTGACCCCAGGGAGGTACTGTATTTAACAGTGTGGGCATCGCTGTTGACTTTCAGAAGTGTACAGGAACAGCTGTAACTGCAGCATCCACAGCGTTCCCTCTGTGACATGTGCACAGCAGCTGAATATCTCAAAATTGGATAACAAATGCCAGCACACTGACCAAGGAGCTACCTAGCCAAGGAGCCTCCAACAGTAAGGCCAGAGGTGTGTCTTCAACTCTGCCCTGCCGTTCAGGTTCCAAGCCCAGCAACCCTGCAGCCGTTCCTCCCTCCACTCCAGATCCACAGACTGGATTATCTTTAGCAGATAAGCACCAGAGCAATTTCTTTTAAAAGCTATGCAAGAGGTCAATGCTCTCCTTAAAAGCATAGTCACCGAGACAGAATGTCACTGCCACCAGCCCTCATCCCTTGTGCCTGTGGAGTTTAGCTGCTTTGAGGCTTGGAGGTTAAGCACGCAGGAGTTTTAAGCATCATAACTTTAGGCACCAGTCCAGGTGATATATAGGCACTGTAAGTCCTTTGTGGATTTTCCATCCAATGTCTTATTTTCTGGTGTAGTACACCATTATGTATGTGTTTTATGACACAGAAAAGCTTGCCCATGGTTTCTGATCCCAGAAAGCAGTAGATTGAACAGAGAATGTGGATTCCAAGGAGCAGTCATTGAAAGGAAAGAGATCAAAGAGATCAAAGCAGCTGACAAGGTGCAGAAAATTAAGCACTGTGGTGAGTTCAAGTAGACAGGAAAAAATGAGAGAACAAGATAGAGAGCTGCAAATATGTGTGGATGTGCGCGCACACATGGGTGACTCCTCTGGGCAATACTGAGTTTCTGCTCCTGCACAAACACAACTTTCCACACACTGCAGCAGATTCAAAAGGAAACTTGGTCTTCAACGCAGAAGAAAGACAAGAAATAAAACTGCTCCAAAGATATTAAGGTATGGTGCTGAGACACAGCTTCCAATACAAATGGGAGAAAACAAAAAAGTCGCATCTGTGTTCAGTCCAGCTCCTCCTTTTAGGATACTCTCACCTTTACACATGCCCATCCTTAATTACTGAACCAATTTCGCAAAGCTCTGACTGTGATGCAGGGCCCTCTTTTGTCCAACAGCAGCTACAGAGGAGAGGAACAGTAGAGTAAAGCCGGCAGTGCTGGAAAATGACATCTACATTAAACACATTTTGGAGGTTTACTCAGCCAGCCGTGGTCTAGTCCTGCTGCTGAAGTACCTCCAGTTCAGCTGAACGTGAAAGGAACACGCGTGTGCTGTTGGAAACCACACCGGGATGCGAATCGAAGTGTGTGTGGGTGCTGGGAGGGGTGGGTGTTCAGGAGATTTCATTTCAAAAGCACACCCCCGATGTGCTTTTCAGTCCTCTCCAGAGCTGTGGTAGACAGAGCCACCAGG